AATGTTGGCATCTGTGTGCATTTGGTCTCCTAGTCAAATTTTGCACCTTAAATAAGAAGTGCATCATTTCATTCCCTTCTGAAATTCTTGAAGTTTAACTTGCTCAGGTTTTATCCAGAGCAACAGAACAAATTTATTGTTTAAAATGAAACTGTTAATTCTTCACAACACTCAAGATTTTTCATTATGCTCTTTTTCTTGGAGTCACCCCAGCTAATTTTACATGCCCACAGGTCAGGAGTCTCATGTAAGCTGAGCACCTGCACTCCCTGCTACCAGTAGCCAGGGCTGACTCCAGCCTAAGGGCCTTTGAACTTAGGTCTGCCAGATCTGGGCTAACCTGCTGATTTTGCATGCGGGTTGGTTTCCTTTCTTCCACTTGCCTTTTCTTTCATTAATGCTTCAGGAAAAATAGCTGGGCAAGTAACCCAAGTAACCCAAACAGTTAAAAAAAATATTCAAAATATGTTAATGATAAAACCAGTAAATGGAGCACCTTTGCTTCTGGCTCCTGCAGTTACTTACTGCTGACTTTGGCAGTTTATATGCTGTTTTTTAAAGTAACCTGCTTTTTTAAAAATCTTTGATAAGATCTGTTATCACATTGCTGAACTCTTTGTTACTCCCTTTCCCTTATAGGCCAAATAGAGGTGAAATATGTTTTAACAGAATAACAGCTAGTTACTGCAGGACTCCAACCCTGATTCCCATTGCTTTCCCAAACTTTAGGGAACATCTGATCAAGACTAAATTTTAGGAAAAGATTTTGTGGCAGATATGATCTCCAGTTTCAGTAGGGCAAAATAAAGTACTGTTTCTTTGTTGTTCGTTTTTTTTTGTTGTTGTTGTTTTTTCACCCTAGTGAAAAAACTATTTCCTTCAGAAAAGGAACAAGTTCACAATTCTTGCAATGTGAGAAAGAAGCCTTCTGCAGTGAAAAAGGCTTGGCACTCAACTTACCTGTATAAGCCGAAAATGGTATTGCCGTTATGCATGAGGTACACGTACACTTCCTCCACATCTTCGTGTTTCATCATATTGAAGGTGAAGAAGTACACTCCTGAAAAGGGTTAAAATTTATAACATGTTGGCTTCCTAGAGGGAGGTATTCATGCTACAGGCTGGTGCTTCTTCCTTAGAAAACCTAACAGCAAAGACCAAATTTGCCTTCCTGTTATCAGTGGATATTTCACTTCCTATTACAGTGTGTCAAAATCTGACTCGTTTTTATTCTGCATATGGCAAGGGTTTAGCTGCATGCCATTCCAAAGACATGGCAGCACCCTTCCTTTTCTCCGAAATGGAAGTTTCCCAGAGACTGAGCCTAGTGACCCCTCTTTCGCCTTTCCCTCTTTGCCTTCCTGCTCCCAACCATTCCCAAAAGGGCAGTCTCCAGGACAGCTGCCCTGGACGCCGTCCTGGGTCGGTCAGGGCATGAGCCTTGCAGCCTGCCACATCATGCCCTGTGCGTACAGACTGCCTTTGCTCTCTGCCCTTCCATCCCTTTTCTGACCTTTGGAAGGCACTAGCAATGCTATTCAGTACAACCACGTATGTGTCACGAGGTCTATGAGACTCTCCCAGGAGGGAGGAAAAGCCTCTGGATCCTCAGCAGTGAGGTCTGTAGCGCTGACCCTGCAGTGCTCTGAGTGCTGTGAGCTTAGATCTTATATCAAAGACATAGTCATTATGGGTGAAAGTTTAACGCCCACATATACATTAACTGCAAAGGGAGGCATCTGTGAGGAAAATCACACATACTCCTAAATGTCCATAAGACAAGTGCCACAGCAAACTTGGAGGCCTGACTTTCATTTGTGCTAATGTCACTTTTCACAGCAGGAAATAAATTATTGGGCAGGTAAAAAGGACCAAGTGAAGGAAGGTGATTTCAGGCTTTGCTTAGACCTATTCTTGGCGTATCGCCATCCATCCCCCATTGCTCCTCCTACACCACAGCCTTGTGAACTGGGGGATCAACACAGACAAAAAAATGGCTCAGGAAACCCTGTAATGCCTCGTTTCTAGCCACATCTGGCCCAGCTCACGGTGCAGAGGAAAGCAGGGACAGCGGGAGTGACAGAAGGCAGGAGGAGATGACTGTGAAACTGCCCCTGGTGCGTGTGACCATGGCACTCTCATCATGACAACAGAAGTGCTTAAGGTCTCAATGCGGGAGGTCCTGCTCTCTCCTCAGCGCTGGCCATGAATCTTCCTCCTGCCTTGGAGCCAGCACTGATCCCACAGGGGAACCTTCTCCTGGCTTGCTGCTTCTCCAGTCTGATTTTTCCTGAAGGCAAGAGCTATATAGACTATTCCCGTGAGCCTCATCAGTGTCTTGTGCAAAGGCAGTAGTATTTTCTCATTGCCTTTGGCTCTGCTCCTCCCAATAGCTCCCAGAATTGCATTATTTTGTTTTGCAAACACTCACCATTCACTGGAGCTCCAAATCGACCAGTCATGACATCAAAGAAATTCCCGACGTTGGTTTCGACACTGCTGAAGATGATGCCACTGTTCTGGTTGCTGAAGTGAGTAGCCATGGAAGCCATGAATGCAACCTACACAAATGCAGTTTGTATTTATTCAGTTATTCATGAAATGTGCAAATACGGAGGAATCGGCGACAGAATTTCATCTCTTATTCGTGGTCTGTTTATTTTCTTGACAGAGATGTTCTTCTAGGGCCTGATCCAAGGTCATTAAACTCCAGTAACAAAACTCCCATTGAGGGAAACTGGAAGAGAACTAGCTTCCTTAGGTTCAATTACGCTATTCATGACTGCAAAAGTAAGTGTATAGGCAAGTGCTTGCAGGTCAGGACCTTAGTTTTGGATTTTATTTATCTTAAATTCTCTCTAGAATGATGCAATAGAAAAGTGGTATTGAAACGTACAGTGTTTTGCATAGAAATAATTTAATTAGCTTTTATATGTTCCCCAGTGCATTTAAGCTGGATATTGCTTTTAACTGAAAGTGTGAAATAAATCATGCATGATAAAATTCACACACATTAATGTTTTTGTTAACTACCTTCAGAGATGCATGAGGCATTTTTATTAAAGATGTCCTAGACGTAAAGTGATGGAGATTCATCTATCACTACTATTTCTCTTACCATGTGCTCTGTATTTCTCAGTCAAGATAGAAGGTGGTGGGGATCAAAAGGGGAAGCTAAAAAAGCAGAAACTGTATGTATTAGAACTCCCTATTCATCTTCTTGCAGTGAGAGGTATTGTCTGTGGAAAATGTTTCGTAGGAAGCTGTGCAAAACCAACTGCCTAGGCAGGGAAAGGGGTTATCTGGTCTGAGAGGCTGTGGTCCCCCAGCTGACTGACAGCAGAGTGACACAAACAGAGACACTGCACCTGGAGGTCGTGAGGGGGCTTGACAGATGTTTTATTTCTGTCTTGCTACTTCTTAGATGGAAAATGGTCAGTTACAGTTGTTACCACCCCTCACAAAAGTGACATTTTCCATGAGATTTCAACTACATAAGAATTAAATAGGAAAAAAAAAAAAAAATTAAAAAGAAAAAAAAAAAAAAAACAGCCCCTTCCCTTCTTTTGATTTCAGATCTGAATAAGAATGAAACTGAAACAGGCAAATTCAAATGCTAAGTCAGATCCAACACTGGAAATCATAAGCCATCTGCTAAGAAATCTGAGGAGCACCAGATGTGCGCTGAAGACTGGGCTTATTTTCCTTATCCCTGCATGGATGCATTTACCGTAACAGCAAACTCCTTGCTTCTCAGCCAGGATCACATCAAAATTCATCATGTGTTAAAGCAAAGCAGCTGCAATGGCAGCTTGATGGAATTTATTACTTTTTGACTAGATTCCATTTTGCATTCTCTTTGAGCCCACACTCCTTTGCTTGCACTCACCAGAAGAGTTGAAAAGATGTCTTTTCTCTCTGTCCTATTTTGAAGTAGCAGATCAACATGGATACAGATGTTTTTCAAAATAATCCTGTACTTAATGATATCGTATTCAAAGGAGTTGCCTCCTCTCCCTATCCCTTCTCCAGAATTCTAAAGCATGATGTTGACAAGAAATTTTATGCTTTACTGTGTGAAGAATTTTTAAGCACATCTGTTAAATATAGTGAAAGATTTTTACTTTAAAGCAAGTACTGCAATATGAGCCTTTGTATTTTGATCATCTTTCATTATTCAGTATTTAAATAAATCAGTGCTGTTAACTTATTGTTAGGAAAAACACCTGATAACTCATTTTAAAATTGCAGAACTATCTATGATGAATGAAATTACAACAAATACGTTTTTCAAGATATTCAGCTAAAACACTAATCCTAGTTAATTCTTTAAGAATGCTAAAATAATTCTGCTTTATCACAGAAGTCTATTACTTTTGGAAATTAATTTCAGGCTGAATTTTATTCTATGCAATTACCCCGTCTCCATGCAACCCAGGGCTGAGTATTCAAATATACACAATGCCAAGAAATCCAAAGCAATTTTCCCACATTAAACACATGTTGGTTTATTGGTGACTTTGGTGTTAATTTTCATGCCTTTTCTGAAGAGATGAACAAGGTCTAATCCCAAAGCTATGCAATCATGTTAACACAGTGGTGAGCCTGAACAAATATACCCGAGCCCTTAGCAGAGGCGACAGCTCGGGCCTGAACCCATGTTATCATGTTCACCTGGCTTTGAGATAGCTCAATCACAAGCAGAACATACCTGCTTCTCCCTCATAGCAGCTGCATGAAAATAACCCATGTAGTTCTGAGCAACATTTTAAAGGTGCATTTAAAAATAGAGGTAGCTACTGAGGGCATTTTTCAAAACCTGAGGACTCTGGACTTCACTCAAGGGTTTTGATCCAATATGTGAGGATTTGGATACAAATGCTGCTGCAAAGTTCCCAAGGCCTGGCAGACCTCAGAAGAGTGGGCCTGGGTGACGCCCTTGCTCTTCTCACGTGCCCTAGGAAGTGCAGAGGTATGTATGTGATACAGCTTAATGGGAAAATTATGGTCCCTTTTACTCTCCTTTAATGATCCAGTTACTGGCTTTCTGCCCTAAAAGGGAATGGTATATGCTTCTTCCTGCTCATTTTGCAGCTGGATTCTTACTCTGAAGAAGGGCTAAGCCCCAGTGTCTTTCTTTTCCAGGAAGATCTGGCAGAGCACATTACTCAGTCCTGACAAGTGTCACCCTGTAGTGTATACAGTTACAGATGGATTTGCTTCTCAAGTATCCCACAGTGTATCCTACGGTAATCAGGCACAGCTTTTCAGAGGAGAAAACTCCATAACCGGAGCACTGCTGCAGGCGGCAGGAGCCAGAGATCTTGTACCTGCAGCTCCGGGGGGATCCCAGGGTAGCCCTTCTCCCCTTTGGGTCCGTGATGGCCACGCTCTCCTCTTGGTCCCATATCTCCTTTGTCTCCTTTCTCACCCTTGGCTCCCTCCTGGCCCGTTGCTCCATTATTCCCGTTGTTTCCATGATTTCCTTAAAAGAGGGTTAAGGTTTTGACGAGCAGGTTTCCAAAAAGAGATGCAACTGTATGTAAGAGTTAACCCTCCTTCTGCATTGGCGTTGCTCGGGTCCCCGTGCTGGTAGCTATAGCGCCAGGCAGTTGTGCAGGAAGAAATCTCAGCAGATACAAAGCTCAGGGAAAGCAAAGGCTTGCTGCCTGGTGGGACGTCCAGGTAGCCTGTGTGGGTGCTTCTGCTTTTCCTTCTCCATAAAATCTTTTTTCCTGTTGCTCTCATAGGATAATTTGGAGGAATATTTTGCTATCTTCAAAATGTGTCTTGCAAATGGAGAAAGGCAGTAACCTTAAACTAGTTAAAAGACATTTGAGGGTCTAAATTCTCAGGGTGTAGGTTACCTTAGAAGGGTTGATAGGTCATTCCTAGACTTAAAGACAGACAAAAATTCTATAATGAAGCTTTTCTGAAGTGATTATATAGAAAAGGTCTCATTGTAAAAAGGTATTTCTGCATCTACGCTATTACTTACTTCCTGGTGTTTACTGAGGAAATTACTGAGCAAATGTCTGTGACTGACAAAATTTTAAAGCTGGCTAGAATAACTGAATGATTATTATGCTTACCTGAAGCAAGATCCCGATCTTAAATTAATTACTAAGGGAATTAGTTAATGTAATCTTTGATCTAATTCTACTTGAATTGAAATGAGATTCTATGCAGCTCTGCTTCTTCATTGATGCAAAGTGGTTAGTTACTGTAATCATGAATTTGCAAGAATTAATGAGGTCAAATTTAGTAAGTAATTCTTCATTTTTTTTGTATTGAGAAAAAACATGATATCCAATAACGAAGCTAAATCATAGGTGTAAATAAACTAATTTTTATTTAAGTGGAGAAATCAATAGACTTTAAAAATTAAAAGAATGATTCTTCATATAAATGAAAAGAACCACTTTCTGTTTGTAACAGAAGCGTGCAAGCAATATTTGAATCAATCAGTGAACCACAGCTGTTGTTATTTCCCTTTGGCACATAGTGATAAAAAAAATGCAGCAGATGAAGGAGACAGAGAAATTCCCGGCTGCAGAAGGGTGCTGTGGAACAGCATTTGTGGTGTCTTTTGGCAGCATAAGAGTGTGACTGAGTTACATTCTCTTATGTAGGGAAGGGCAAAGCTGTGCCCAGATACAACCATTGCAGTATCCTGACTGGCAGCCCCAAAAGTATGGGCATAACCCAAAATTTTGTCCCACTGCTAAGAAGCCAACTCTATTAATGCATAAAGCGGTATTTCAGCACAAGAGGTCTCACTGTTACATTTCTCCTACATCTATAATGGTCGTGCTATTCTTATAAAGGACTGATGCATGAAATAATAAATTCTAGCTCATGGCAGTCTAATGTCAAATATACTTAATACTTAATTATGCTTAACACCAAAACATGTCAGAGTAGCAATTTATTTCAGTATTTTGCAATCTGAAACTAATTCTTTAAATGCTTCATTTAGAAAAGTGTCAGATGTGCCCATTACTGGAAAATGTTTCTCTCATAGTATCTAAAACCACCTTAAGGAAAGACTGCTTCAGTTTTTTGTGAATGGTTATCTGTTACCTCTGTTAGCTGTCAGTAAATCTGTGAGACAGAAGAATAAAGAATATTTTTATTGTAGCAACAGAGGAGGAATGATTGGGAAGATGAGGCAAATCTGTCCGTCAACGCCATGTTCATTTACTTTACACATCTGCTTTAGAAATGATCATTTAATGAAAGCAACCACCATATTACTTATACCAACATACCATCTTTTTCCTTTCTGGAGGTTTGTCTTTTTACATGGCAATTACTTGATCAAATTATACTTTTTTTTTTTTTTTTTAGGTGTCCTGTTATTCTGTGTGCATTTTTAATAAATCAATTATTTTGTATTATGGAAGACAACAAGATGAGACAATAGAGCATGTGTGTGTCTGTAAAAATTTGGCTAGATAGGAAAGCTCCTAAATTCAGCACAATTTGGCATTGCTGGATATTCAATGATGAAAGCAATAATCAATCCCAGAGAACAAGTTATCCCGACTTTAATGGACACTTCATGCAGGTTTAAGAAGAGAGAACAATTTGGCCAAATGCAAAAAGACTACTTTCAGCATGATTTTCTGAAAGCTGGATTTTATTAACAAGTCATTTTTCACTGGCATAGACTTTAGAGTTTAACTGGTATTAGACCCCTATCTTCCCTGAAATTACAGAAAAAACTGTTTCCAAATCTCTCTCCATCTTGTGATGTTCAGACCATTCTCAAAAGACTTTATTGCCTGTAAGTAGACTGATCAGGAATCAACTGAACCTCTTTACCTGGCATCCCAGGGGAGCCGGGAGGTCCTGGGGGCCCTTGGTAGAGTCGAACTCCAAAATCGCCGTGGCAGCAGGTACTGCAGTCGGGATTTTGTGGTCCCGTTTGTGGGGGCTAAGTGCACAAAAATAAATTATAAATAACTAATTCATGGAATGCATCAATCATACACGTGTCGGTTACAGGGTCTTCTTTATATAGTCTCAGTTTATATATTTGTGTAAGTTTTCAAAACCCTTCTTATCTGGGCTGAAATCTCCCTACTTGGCTTCTTCCAAAAATTTTATTTTTGGAAGATTTAAGGAAAAAGCTCTTCAAGTGTTCTGAGAGCTAGATGAACATAAAAAGAAGAAATAAGCTGGTGTGTTAAAAAATGGGGGATATGGAAATGAAATAATACTGACTAATGAAGGTTAAGTGGATATATCAGTTAGGTTCCTATCCTGCTTTTTCCTGACCCCAAATTTCATCTAAGACCCTTTGCTGACAAACAAGCCTAAGTGCAATGAGTGTCAGGAAACAAGGGCCTTCCTTTGGCCTTTGGCAGTGAGCTGTCTTCTGCTAAACGTGGAGAAAACTAGGTCGGATTGGCAGGAGGAGATGTACAAAATTGTCCATGCAGCAAATACCTGCAAATGACCCCAAACTAGCACATTTGCAAACTACTAAAGTTAAGAGAATCTACCAAAGTGCCAAGGTACATGAGAAAACTCAAACTGACCATGACACATGGTGTTATGGACATTTGATTATTCATACTTGTGGGTATGTAACTATGAAAACCTGTTTATATGATGAAATGTATAGCAGCACAAATGAGTTGATTATGCACAGTTTCGCTACTATAATCATAGTTTGATAGTGGTTTGCTATTTCACTGCTTTCCTTTCCCAAATTACTGTATTTAGGCTAAAGGATTCTCAATCACTTCTGGTTAGATTTTATAACTAGGCTATCATGTTGATTTAGCAGTTACAAAGCTTTCCAGTGGGTCAGCTGAGGTAGAGGTCCTGGGTTTTATTTTATTTTTCTACCTCCTTTTCATTTTTCCTTCTTTGTTGGTCTTCCTCTGCAATTCTTTTCTATTATCCTGAGGTACAAATCTGCAGTGCTTAAATTCTGCAGGGGAATAGTCACACAATTGGACTGCTACTTTTTCCTGATCATTCTGCTATTTGTCTTCCTTCCCTTTCTTTCCACTGTTGTTCTTTGTCACCCTTTCCTAATGCACAGCTACTGGTTTAACTGCAGCAAATGAGCCCCTGGTCCTCTGGGCATAGCTAAATGAACATATAGCTGCACTGTATTCCTACCCTTGAGGCCACCACCTGGCCTAATCTGAAATGTCCAGGCTTGCTGCCCATCTTTTGAATGATTCCAAGCACACCCTCAAAATCATTAATTTCAAGAGGCTCTGGAATGTATGTTTATGGCTGTAGAAGAACTTTTATGCAACGGATTGGACACATGCACCGTTCAGCTGGAAGCAGTGACAGCAGAGCTGCCTTGGGGGAAAAGGCTGAATGGAGAGCGCAGAAAGCGAATTTCATATTCAAAGAGGCACAGAAACATTAACGACTGCCAGTGGTCAGAAGGACTTTGGGTTATGGGTTGTTGGTCAGTCCTCTGCTTTCTACCTTAATTCCAGATAAGAACTATATTGTATGAGGGAAAAAAAAAAAAAAAAAAAAAAGACTTCTATCTGCTGGACTGTCTGTTCCTGGAGAACCCATCTGCATCATTTTTTCTGTTTCATCTCTCCCAGCTGTTAGAATAAAACTGACAATCTCCAGATGTACTAGTCAAAGCTTTCCTAATGTGAGATAAGAAGTAGCCCTGCTTTACACTAATTTTCCATCTTTGAAGGAGAGCCAAATGCTCCAGGACTGGAATTACTCAAACGTTTTGTACCTCCTGGAATGCTAATGTTCAATGTTGTGTGGAGCTGGAAATCTCTGAGTGCTTTTCAGATGGTGCTTGATATTCATGGGAAGTGGGAAGACCAACTACAGAAGCATCTGTCCAGAGCAAATGAATAGTGCCAGCCTAGAAATATCCAAATGCTTGCAACTGTGGCTTATAGGTAAGGAAATGCATGAGTCCAGCAAAGTGGATTATTTGTGTCAAAAATAAGTCTTATTCAAGTGTGCGAGGCTCTCTGCAGAGGTAGCACTTGTTTCCTTAGCCAGCACTCTGCAATCTCAAACAACATTTTTAGCTAACCAGCAACATTGTTGTAAAATAGATGCTAGTACCGAACATGACTTATTTGACATTATCTCTCTGACATCTCAACAGGTTATTACATGTGAAAGCAGGCAAGTCCTGCCAGTTTGGTTGTATTAGAACAGTTCCACTGCCTTCAAAATAGCTACTTATGCAAGTTGTGAGCTAATATTGACTTATTATCTTTACTAATCCTTTTACTCGGAGGAAAAAATGTTCACGATCACTTGCCAAGAACAATGGATATTCAGTATAATTTTCTAATCTCTAAAAACAGAGGACTTTGTGAAAAGTACATTTAAAGTAAAAATCTGTGCCTAATATAAAATTACACTCAAATGGGACATAAAAATTAATTGCAGCCTACTTGCCAAAGGGATCCTATGCAGCAATCAGCACAAATTTTATTGCGCAATGAATCTTTCGCAATGCTCTCCAGAACAGGAATATGATTTAGAAGCTTGTGAAATGCATCTGCCACATCCTAATTCAGATAAAAGCCTAGAAATGAGGGCACCGTGGATATTTGCTGAACTTCCTTTGATTTAGCAGGTAGGAGGCAGTTCTAGGGAACAGATGGCCTATAAAATTCCTTTAATTTAAACTTGTGATGCAATCAGAATTGGAGAACCAGACCTCTTTCCACTTCCTGGTTAATTTTCTGGGTTTCTGTTTAAATTGCCTAACACAATATAGAAAAGAGTGCACTGTGCATCCACTGCCCTTGGCTCCTGTGCTGTGAGAGAACCAACATGTCTCTGTGGTCCCAATGACCCTTCTTTTGCAAAGGAATAAACAAACCACTAAGATGCAGGGCAAAAGGCCAATAGGTTGAGAGGTACTTGAAGGATGTAAGAACATAATAGAGAGGAGCATGTCTGGCTTTCCTCATTTTGTTGGGAGTTCTTGTTCTTGAGAAATGCACATTATATTTTTCAGAACTTACCAGCAGAATGGAAACTGGTCTTTTATCCAGTGCAGCAAAGCAAAATGCTCTTGTGGCTTTGGCACAATAGTGAATGTGATGTTTAAAACACTTTAGCAAAAGGGCAAAATTCTCCAGCCAGTGCTAAGATAATCAAGAAAGTTGGGATTTTAGGGATTAAACTTTTCCATACACAGTCTGGATGTTTGCAGCTGTTACATTTGCTAAACAGCTTTCAGATAGCTCAAGAAGGGAGGTTTGATAAGTAAAAACACGTCCTTGCCACCTTTGCTCCCTGTCTGCCCAGAAACCCAGGGAGTCTCAGGATAGAGAATACCTATTGCATCAGCCACTCTGTGATGGATTATCCCTGTTGTGCATCTGCTAATGCTCCATTTCATTTAAGTAAGCCAAAAATGGCATCATTCCCCCAGCAAAGTTTGCTTCCTAGGGACGAGACTGCCAGGTAAATGACCTGCCATCCACTGTACTCGGGCTGGCAGGACTCACTTTTAATATCACAGCTCCTTGCCCACCAGGCAGCTCCAAACACTGAATTGTCTGATGAAAGACACAGGCACCCCAGAGACTGCAGTGACATTGTGTGTCTGAAGGGCAATTTGACCCTTAACAAAATCAACATTTTATATTAAATCCTGCATTATCTGAAATTATGTTAAAGTCTTTTTAAACTTTTTTTTTAACTTTCACCACTATAGGGTCTGTAGGATGTAGCTGCACAAGTCTCTGTGCAATAGAGGAACACACACAAACATACACTAGCTGGCTCATCAGGCTATATGTGTGATTATTCACACTGTTTACATGTGTGTGTATATATATAACTCCTGCACAAGAAATCCAAAATACAATTCACTGTAAAATTTAATTACAGGGAATGTAGTGGTGGATTAAACCTATTCTTATAGTTGGAAGTGTTTCAGTTCCTTTAGCCTAGCATAGTACTAAAATAAAATCCTTATGTTTATCATGAAGTGGGTGATTATTCAGTGTTCATCTGCAAGTCCCTGATTTTTGTAATTTGGAATATCACGATTAGCTCTAAAAAAGTTGTAAAATGCAAATGAAAAAAAGACAAACTTGAGAGTCCCATCATTTATATCAGAAATAGGAACGAAACACATTGCTGCTTTTAAAAAAAAATATACCAATCAACAAAAACTTTACTTGAATTTTGTTTTGCCTAAAATTAGAAAAAGCACCATCTTCTGTCCTTCAAAAATTCACCTTTATGATTGCGGTATTTTATGTAAAAATCATGCAATTTTCCCTTTTCTGTGAGCTAATGACTATAATATATAAATTGCCATGTAAATGGCATAAAAAGAGCTCCAATTTAAAAAGCAGACATTACAGCTGATTTAAAAAACATTTCATTCCACATGTTTTTCTACTGAAACTGAAAGTCAATTTGATATATATCATTATTAAATCTACTTGGCTCTCAAATGCAACATTAGTGCCTATTTTTTCAAGCTATTCCTTAGAATAACAATTGCAAATACTGACAAATTCATTGTCTTTCTCAAACTCAAAAGAATATATTTTCTACATATAATTTTCAAGTAAGTTTATTCTTTGCTATTTGAATCCTTTCAAATATCTCTGCAAATTCCATAACTTCCTTCACAACCAAATGAATTAATTGAATATAAAATCTTAATTGTTGCAGTTCAAACGGCTGCAGCGACCTGGTTCAGGGACGGCACGGCGACCACCCCCAAGCCACTCAGGCCATCAGCTAGTTGACACCAATGTGGTGGACGGCAAAATGGCCCTTATTGATGGGTAACAAGGTGTTATATAGCTAGGTTTACAACGTCACATCCGTCTGCTTACACCATAGACTAAACACTATTGGCTATTAGGGGCCCTATCTTTCCGTACAGCGCGATATCTTCCGCCCGCCGTTCCCTATCTGCAACACGTAATATATTAAAAAAATACTCAGAAATAATTAAGAGACTCTATATCACAATATACAATTGCATAGGATCATAGTTTCGACAAAACAAAAGGCTGCTGTGCATGTTGGTAACAGTGTCCCGAAACACTGCTGGTTCTACCAGTTTGTTAAAAGATCCTATAAAACAACCTGGCAGGACACAGAGCAATAAACAGCTTTAGTAAAATTTATTTCATAAATATATCAGTAATAATCTTAGAAAAAAAAGAAAGAAATCTCATTAGCTTTAAAATTATCTTTAGAAGATTAATTCAGAGTACCTGGACTCTATCTGAGGTAGTCAGTTCTACATCATCTACCTCTGGTCTCAGGACTTTTTGGTCTGTAGAAGTGCTATTAGCAACAGTCCACTATAAGTTGACTCCGCTGTTTCAATATTTCCCTGCTTCTGGAACCTTTATGGGCAGTCTGGTGATGACTTTGCAATACTTTGGCTACTGGTTTATAAGATCTTCTGCTCACCTCCATGTATTTGTCTTGACACAGGCAAAATGGAAGAAAAAAATAAGTCAGCAGATGCCAACTGATGAAATCCTTCTCTGCCATGCTATTCAAAATGATTTCTCAGGAGTCCAGCAAATGTCTTGCAGAAGGAGAACCTCTCTGCTGCACCAGGAGCTATGTGGTCCTTTCAGCTTTTCCACTAGTAAGCCTGGCACTGAGACCAGTACCAGGTTTTATACGGTTGTGTGCAATAAATAAAACGAAAAATGCCAAACTGACAGGATCCTTCATCCAAAATCAGTCATGCTTCTTTAAACAAACCAGGCATTATTCACCACTTCACCACCACAAGGAAAATTGATTTGTATGCTGGAAATGGCCACAGCATTTAACGGACTCCCGTGGTTCCTATTTGGGGGCATTAAAAATGTAGCACCTTTTCTTTGGCATGTTTTTGTTTAAGTGTGAAAAAATGTGATGGAAATGGAGAACATGTGGCTAATGGTTTACGTTCCTTGATTAGACATGGAAAAGTTGTGAATTCACACTCTAAAATGTCTTTTGGATACAATCACCTTCCTTATTTGCCAGGAAATTCACACACACAACTGCGTCAGCCCAGTCCAAAAATTCTTCCAAGAGCAATTAGGAAACAAAAGCACAAGAGGAGCTTTTGCATATGATTCTGACCCAATTGCTGTTTCTGACTATGCTTTTCATTCAGTAAAATAAAAATATTGAATTTCTGTCAGTTGGCCAGCAGTGGAAGGAGACAGGGTAAGCAGCTCTGAAAAACTGGGTTGAATTCAGATTCACAGAGCCCCATTTCTCAGCATTAGTTCAACTTAGGCAATATTTTTTTCCCTTGAGTTTCCAGTGTTTGGTTAAATGCAATTGCCAAACCAACTTTTATTTCCTTGCTGCCAAGTAAATATAAATTACCGAGGGCTTATTTTATACTAAAATAATCAAATTATATAGGTATAATAATATCCTTATAATATTTTTTGAACCACCCACTAATATCCTCCAGAATGCCACAACTGCAGACTACCGTTCTGCAATTGCTTGCCCATAGCCTTGCACACCCCACCAGCCTCCCGAGAGCAAGTAGCTCGCTAGCCTGTGCCAAACACTTACCTACAGGTTACAATAGCATCAACCCCCAGGGATGATTTCCAGCCCTGCAATGGGATGGACTGACACAAACTCATGCTATCAAGGGTGAGCACTCTGCATTGCATTTGGATGGGGCTCCTAAAATTTCTCTCCCCCCCCTCTTTTTTTTTTTTTTAATTGTTTTTTTTTTCCCCCTTTCTGTTCAGTGAGTCTGAGGAAATGTGAAGTTTGTGCTGCAGCTACAGTGTTTTTCTTTTCTTCTGAGCATGGTTGCATGTCCCAGAGCAGGATCATAGGGAAGAGGGAACACCAGGGGCTTGGTGTACCGGGATAGTGTTGGAGCACCAATCCATCCAGAAGGGAATCTCCAAAGCTAACAATCCACAAATCTCACCTAGGCTTCATTTTGGGAAGAAAAAACAGTTCACTCCAAAACATACCCTGTGAAAAAAACAAGATGTGACCAACCAGGAGGCCAAAAGCCATGAGCAAAACAAGGCGCTGAGTTATTTGGCAGTGTAAAAAGCCCTGAGTGCAGCAAAAGGCTCTGCAGCAGAGCATGACCAGCGCAGACACCTCCTTGCTCCCCTGCCTGGGGACTCTGTGTATGTTGGGAGAAATAAAACCTCATGCTAATCCTCAGGAAGTCACAGAAAACCCTCTTTTTTACCCCAGGGAAGGAAAAAAAGGTTCAAGCAGCAGGGATCTGCAAAGGAGCTCTGGCTGTCTCTCTGCCTTGCTTTGCATTTAAGATGAGCCACAGAAGGGATATTAGAGGTTTGAAGGCTGTTCAAGCCCTTGCAGATGCAGGAACAGATGACTAACGTATGCTAGCTGAACACTGGGGAGAAAGCGCTGTCTGCTTTACATCCCAGTCCTTTCCACGGGAGACACCAGGGCAAGTCACATCTGCAGAGGAGCAGACGCTGGCCGAGGATGGCAGTGGAAGGCGTGAGAAATGCTCAGCCTGAGCATGTATGCCCAGGGCACAGGTGCCCGTGAGGTGATCAGCATGGACCTGTTATTTCCCACCGAACAGGGGTGCAGGGAAGGCAGCCACCTCTTCCAGCCCAATGGCCACCGCATGCACAGACAGGGACACCGCAGCACAAGCAGAAGGTTGGCTGCTGCCAGCTCTGCTTCTCCCCTTGTGCACAAAACCCACTGGTTGCTGCACTGCCCATTATCTCAGGCACAATCCTGGAACGGAGGCAGATCGCAGTTTGCTCTATTTTAGCCCACCGGCTCGGAAGACAGAGCTGCATCTCCCTGCTTTATGCTTCTGTCATTTCTCTCCCCCCCCCTTTTTTTTTTTTTTGAACATCAGGAATCTTCATTCATTTTCAGGGAGATCTTAAATTCTCAAGCCAGATGTTCAGGATCATTAAAAACACCAATCCTAGATTAGCTTTCGAGCCTTGCTTCAGTCTATAAATAGTAATTAGCTCACAAATAGCCTTGCAGAAGAGGATCGTAAAGCTTATGCTTTACGACTACTGAAAATACTGATAAAAAAATGCAAATGCAGATATTCCAGTTATTTCACTGGGCAAGGTTTGATGGAAAGGAATTTACTGGAGAGTGAAGCAGATCTTCTCTAAACACAGTTCCAGAGTTTGGAAACTGCTGCCATCAAAATAGGGTTTCTTTTTCATGGAGAGAGGATTTTCCTGGTAAGTTTTGAAAACCCTGGACTCTGTAAAACTGGGAATGACTCAGAGGCAAACATTAAATTATCTTGGCACTTTATAATTTGATCCAGCAAGTGCTGGGACAGCATTGATATTTTCAGATGCCATTAGCACTTTCATGGCTTTCCAAACTCTGTTCCAGGAGCTTCCTGTGGCAAATGTTTCCAACATGAGTAATGACTATCCACAGCACCCATGTCCCAAAGGGAGGAGGAATAAAACCAAAGAGATTTGGGCTTTCAAGGCCCCATCTATCATTGCATGCAAAAGCTGGAACAAGCATGTTTCTTGGCAGTGATTAGAAAGAAGAAACATTCCCTTCCTCACTCTCTAATAAAGTCCATCTGGTTCCTACCCATCATTGTTCTGGTGGTTCAATGCTATGTAGATTTTTTTTGATCCAAATTAATAATATACTTTAGCCTTTGCTCTTTTATTACCAGTTTTTTGAATAGAATCCCATCTGCATAAATCTTTGCTGCCTATCATTCCCCTCTCTGCCACTGTTAAGGAGTAGGTGGCCCACAAAGTCACTGTTTACATTCTGAAATTTTGGAATCAGAAATAAAAAAAGCAATGGAACAATTGTTTTGCCGTTCCTGAGTTCCAAATGATCAGATACACTTATGGAAATGGCCTGAACTGAATCTAAAATGATATAACATTAAAATGGCAGGATTTTGAATTCATTTTGTACTGCAATAAAATACCGAGAATGTTCCACACTTTGAAGAACAGTTCATGGTGATCTGAAGGTAAGGAGGAATGACCTGAAAGGTTTCTGCTTTTAGCTGTGGAACTGACTGGTGAAGGAGAATAAAACCTGGCAGCATCTTTACCTCACAGCTGACCCCATCAAGCCACCTGTAGCCTTTGCTACCTGGGCAGCAGCAATTGCCTGTTGACATGGTGCTTTGGCAGCTGTAAGCTTCTATCTGGAAATCAATGGTTTAAGACTGAGTGAAGCACATGGATCTGATTATGTCAGATAACAAGATACCAGTTAAAAAGCAATAACTGCCAGCTAAAAGCTGTTTTCCACCTTCTGTGAGCAAAATCCCTGTTTGGTGAGAAAGGTGAGCATTATTATCTTGTTCATATAGACATTGGGAAAGTGGGTTATTAGTGAGGTTATGTAAAACTGCAGGCCACCATTTCAAGAGGCAACAAAGTAAAATGATTAAAAATAAATAAAATAAAACCTGCTCTGGCCCAGGCAAGGGATGAATCTGTAATTAAACATTTACTGTTCCTTCAGGTAGAAATAACTGTTTACAGTGATAACCCCTTCATACTACCCACAGAGACAATCTGCACCTGCTGCTTCATGAACACTCTCCACTGAGCCATGCTGAAGGGGAGCAAGCAGCACCAGCAGCCTCAGTGGCCCTGCCACCCTGATGCACCAACACATGCCCAGTTCCTGGCCCCACCACAACTTTTTGAGCTCTTGCTTTCCTGGATGCTCTCCCAGTCCAGCTCCTGTTGTTCCCTGGGCTCCCGCTGACACCTTGGTCAGTCCCACAGCAATGCAGGGAGAGGGATGACTCTTCTTTGCAGAGGCACAAAATCCCCAGCATGTGCCTCCCCTTGGCTCACTTATCCAGAAGCCCTTGGACCTCAGTGAGGCTGCAGGGAGAAACACAGACAGCCCTTTCACATGTGTGTGTGAGTTTTCCTTGAAATGCCAGAAGTGAATTCATCTCCTCTTATGTGACAGGGCCACCACTCAGATATGTTTTTACCACTCACATTCAAGACCAGCTGTCCAGAAGTAGCAGCTTTGACTAGAGAGGGGGAAGGAGAGAGAAAAAAAAAAAAAGTGGTTTAGGGGGAAAAGTGGTCTCTGAAAACACATGCAACAGCTTTTCAAAACGCACACAACTGCATAACATATATCCAGAGGGAAGGATAAACCAACCCCAAAGTAGTTTCAGAAAGGTTTGCTCTTGCAAACAGCCAGAAGCTATGGCATGTGAAAAATTTGCAAGTGTCATCCCACAGGAGCAGGGCATCTCTGGAGATGACCCTCAAAGGGAGCACAGATCCATGGCGCTTTCCAAGGACTCTGCCTCAGGAAGGTCTCATAGGCTCTGTCTCTGCATCACTGCTCCTGCCTGGCAGGTTTCCATGTGTGGGAGAACACTGTGGCTTTCCCGGGACAAGGTGCTTGGGCCAGCCAGGGAGAGCACAGAGGCTCCAGGAGGCTTCCCGCACTCCAGCCCAGCAGCTGGGCATGCACCGCAGCTCCCTCAACACCAGCCTCAAGGGTCCATCATGAACCATCTGGATCAGGCTGTCGGCAATGCTGTCTGGGACTGCTAGGTAGCTCATCCGAGTTGCTTTTAAACATGCAAAAATCATAGAATCATAGAATGC